CCCAGGAAAGGAGAGAGAGAGAGAGAGAGAGAGAGAGAGAGAGAGAGAGAGAGAGAGAGAGAGAGAGAGACTACGCTGACGCCTCGCATGGCTAAAAGCCGCGCTGCAAGCGCACGCGCACGCGCCCGGCCGGGGCTCGCCGCGGTTCTGTTAGCGGCTCAAGAGGGGGGACGGACCCGGTCTGCGAGATTTAGTTTTTTGCCATCACGCGCCTATGACCCTCGCTGCGGGATGCGGGTGCAGGCGGACTTCGAATCATCGCCGCGCTGGACGTCGAGGGAGCTCTTCTTCTGGCGCCTCGCCCTGCAGCAGCTGCTTGGCAGCTACCCCACCGACAAGGACTGCGTGGCAGCGTTCGCGCGCCTGGCGGGCCTGAAGCAGCAGGGGCAGCTCGCGCGGGGGCTGGCGCTCTTCTTGAAGACGCGCGTCGGGCCATGGCTGGTCGGCCGCGCAGACGCGGCCGCGGCGGAGGAGCAGGGGCGGTTTGACGTGCTGCTGCGGCGGTTGCATGCAGCGGAGCAGACGCTTGCGCGCAGCCAGGGCGCCGTGCTGGCAGCTTGACGGCCCGGTTGACGGCGCGGCTCAGCTCGCTGACCGCATGGGCGATGGTGTGCTGCTGCACAACGGGGGCAGCTGTCTTCCCATGTAACAAGTTATCCTATTGAAGCCCTAACGTTGGCCAGCAATTGTTGCTCACCTTCATCTTCTCCAGCGCGCCAACTCCGGGAGTGATCACCGGTGAGACGAGTCGAGACACGGCAGCGAGCATTCCAGACCCGAGTTGTTTCATCCCTCATCACAATCGATAGCCTCGTTTGCGCTGAGCTCAAAGTTGATCTAGCTTCTGATGGCCAGCCCGGCCTCGCCACCCGCGGGAGCGGGTGGCACCCAGGATATAGAATCGACCATATGGGACATGGTGACGCTGCTCAAGAAGGTGGGGCGCGCGCATCTGCACCCTGGCGCAGCCGGCGCCACGAGCCCCGAAGCGCCGTGCCTCGCCGCCCCCACGCTGCCTACGCCGGGCCCCAACCCTGCCGGCCTGACCCAATCCCCATCCCTATCCCCTCAGGGCGCCAAGCTCACGGATGCGATGCAGCAGCGCGTGCGCGGAATGTACACGCGCCTGCAGACGGCGTGCAATGAGGACCTGCAGGCGCCCCTCAGCCAGGGCGTGTGGCGGGCGCTGCGGGACCTCATGCGCTCAAAGCCCGGCCTAGTCCTGGATTATGCCGCGGGTAGGCGTCCACCTTTCACCATGCAACACACCACTCGCCTTGGTCACAAGTTCCCCGGAGCCTGGCGCGCGGCTCCCCGCCCAGCGATGCGTGCAACTCCGCGGCCCGGGCCCTAGCTGCGCCCGCCCTCAACCCTCCGCCGCCCCGTCCCCGCCGCCGCCGCCCGCGCCGCGCCGCAGGCATGATGGCGAGCGTGCTGGTCAACTCGCCCGTGCGGAAGCAGCAGGCGCTCGAGATGCCGACCGTTGCCGCCGTCATAGTGGACAGGATCGCGACGGGCAGCCCCCACTCCCAGCTGGCCTGCTGCACCGCCCTCGGCGTCCTCGCCGACACTCCCGCCGGCGCCGCCGCCGTCGCCGCCGCCCAACCCACGTCCAAGCCCGCCCCCGCCGCGCTCGCGTCGCTCGTCGTCGCCGCGACGGGCGCGGCAGCAGCGGCGGCGGGGCACGGCGGCGACCCGGCGCGGCCCGACGAGGCGGTCGCCGACTCGCTGGGCCGCGTGCTGGCGGCGCTGACCGCGATAGAGACGATGTT